GCAGCAGCAGCAGCAGCAGCAGCAGCAGCCGCAGTGACAGTGCGGGCCAGCCGAGCTGAGCAGCCGCCCGCCCATCGATGCGGGGGAAGGCTGGGCCGGGCAGAGCGAGCCGTTGTTGGCCAAGGCGGCGCCTTTGCCCCAACCCGGGCGAATTGGGGGCGGGCGTGAGCGCAGTGTGTATGGCTGCTGCAGCTGAATGCGAAATTTAGTGCGCGCTTTTTAGACTGCCCATCTGCTGCCGCCCTGATTTTAAGCAGCGTGAAAAAAATCCCGGAAACGCAGCGGCGGAATCGGTCTGGAAATGCGGAGACGACCACCAGCCAGCTGAGCTTCTCTCGAGCCGAGCCCAGTCGGCGTTCCCGACCGTCGTCTGCACGGCTGCCTGCCTGCTGCGCTTGGATTGCAAAGCGAGGCGCGAATCATCAATTTCCGCAACAAATCCCACTCTCAGTCCGGGTAGAGCGGATGCAGCCATCCGAAAGCCCATGCAACATCGGCTGCCACCTCCCCACCCCCTTCTTCGTCACAATCACAATCGCAATCACAATCGATCGGTCTACTGCCGACTGAATCTGCCGACCAAGTTCACACGCTGGCATCGATGGTTGTTGTCGAGAGTAATGGCATTTCAGATGCGCTCTCTCAACCCAGACACTCGGCGAGCTGCACCTCGAGCTGCGTGCCGAGCTGCAGATCAAACTTGGCGAAAGTGTCGAGAATCTCGCGCATGGCTGTGGTGAGGGCGGAATGAACGCTGTGGGCGCCGCTGCTGCTCCAGGTCGTGCTGAGTTGTTGCTGGTACTCGCTGCTCGCTGCAGCCTGTGAGTTGGGCTCGGCTTGTTGCTCAGCGAGCTGGTGGTCGATGTCGCGAGCGCGCTGTTCGAGCTCGAGACCCAGGCGGCGGATCTCGGTGTGGAGCTCGACGAGCGCGACGAGCACGCGGCGGATGTCCTTTTGCACGCACCCGTACGCGTCTTCGGCAAGACTGTGGCAGAGGAGTGACTGGAGTGCCACCACGGCTCCGACGGTGCGTATGGCGTCGCGGCCGATGAGAGAGGCTGCGTCAGAGGCGGGCGAGTCGCCCAGAAGCAGTTGGCGTCGACGGGGGCCAAAGAGAACGTGCTTGGCATCTGAGGGCACCAGGCGCCACGCAGTCGAAACTAGCCCATGCAATAGCCGGCTTGCGTTGGCAATGCTCACGACAGCTGGCGCCGGTGGCTTGCCACCAGTAGTCGTAGAGGTAGCGCCGCTCGTCTGCGCGGGTGACGCACTGCTGCTGTGCGTCGACTCTCCCGACGCAAGCTGGTCCCATATCGTCCGTGTCTGCTGCGCGTTTTGCTGTTGCGGTGCTTGCTGTACCGCTGATGCCGGTGCTGGTGGCTTGGCTGCCTCCACCACGCCTCTGCGCGCCACAAACTGCCTCTGTTCCTCGAGCAGCTTCAGACACGTATCCCTGATCTGGATCCACGCGGTGGCGTCCGAGTTGACGTCCCTATACACCGCTGCGCGCACCTCGCCATCCTGGGCACTGAGCCGTGCCAGCTCTGCAAACGCATGGCTGGCGAAAAACACCACGGGCTCTTGGATCCCGTCGACCAGCATCCGCGTCGGGTGGCGCGCGTGCTTGCTGAGCGCCACGAGCGGATGTGTGAGGTACACATCGAGCAGCACGTACGCTGTCTCAACAGCGCATACCGCGGCGACACTGAACAGCGTCGTGCGCACCCCCACCTCGAATGCGCCGAACTCGACGCGGAAGGACGGCACCAGCAAACGGCGCAGCAGGCCGCGGCTACCAACGACCAGCAGCACGCTACTCCACACGCGCACGCGAACCATTGCGTACACTAGCACGCTTGCTGTCGATGCGAGTGTTGCGGCAACCAGTGCGAGAGGCAGGCGCGACGAGGCGAGCGAGACCACGCGGTCTTTGATCGTCACGCGTGCATCCGTCGTGAGCATCTCCGCGTCGAACTTGGGCAACGCCGCGCTATCAGGCGAGGGTAGACATCGGAATACCACCGTATACACTGCACCGAGCAGTGCCGAATGCCCAATCAGGTAGAGGAAGCGTTCGTTGAGGTAGAACGCCTGGTGCGATTCGACCCAGATCTGCGGTGCCCATCCCTGCGTCCTTCCGGCCAACAGCGCCGTATACCCAAGTGCCAGCCCCACAAACGCCGCCGTATGCTGTGTGACCGCCTTTCCCGTTCCCGCATGCGCCAAAGCAGCTGTGAGTTGCGCTGCCCTGGACGATGGTGTTTTGGGGGGTGGTGTCGTGATGCGCCCAAACCCGCGCTTGCGTCGAGCCAACAACGGCAGGATGGCGGTGCCGAACGATGCAGCGCTCACCACCAGCGTCGATGGCGAAACCACCAGCCGCAGCGTACCGAACAGCGCGGCGCTGAGGCAGAGGTGCCAAGTAATGGCGGCTAGGACGAAGGCCCGTGTTTGGCGCGGCTGCAGGGCGAGTTTGACGACATCGCGGTACTTGGTTGGTAGCTGCGCCTGCGGTATCGATGCGAGCGAAGAGGGCATCTCTTAAAGCCCGATACCCCCAAAGTTGTGGGAGGGGCGGGTGGGTTGTCGAGATGACCAGCGGTGAGGTGAAAGTGTTGATGTTTGATGTTGTTCTCTCGCAGCAGCAGCAGCAACGCGCGGTTGGGCGCCTGGCCTTTTCTTTTCTTCTTCGCAATCGCCCGCGGTTGAGAGGTTGTGTGGAGAGAGAGAGGTGCGGCATCGGGGCGATGGGATTTTGACTCGCACGAGTTGTTTCCAAAATGGGCGTCGGCGCTTCTCGTGATCACAGGAGCGCTCCTGGCGTTGCCCATCTTCCGAGAACGCGGGCAGGAAGAAAAAATGCCGCCTCTTCCACATCGCTCACTTTGGAACCTCTCTTTCTCACAGCACATCTTTCACACCACCCCTCCGTCTTTGCGCAATGGTTGGTGCACCTTTGGTTCGTTCGGGCCGTATTGCGACTCGCACTATCCGCACTCTGCCCACCCTCTCTACCGTCTCGACACCATCCACATCCTCGAAGCGTCTGCACACGTGTCCACCCACACCCGAACCGCTCATCGACGGCTGTGCACCTTTCCTCTCCGCATCGACCGTCAAGCAGATCTCGCAAACATGGCAGGCTGGTCTCCTCGACCTCCTCAATCAGGAAGTTCGTGACACCCAATTCGCCTCTTCCTCGATTGTGGAGACTGTGATTGGTCTCGCTCAGAACCGCGAGAAGCTACTGGCTTTCAACTACGCCTCCCAGGCCCTCAACAACGCCTTCTTCCTCTCCTCCATCGCTCCCCAAGACAAACTGCGAAACCCCACCCCGCTGCCAAAATTGGCAACCGCAGTCTCAAAGAGCTTCGGAAGCTTCCCCGAAATGTGCCTCGCTTTCTCCGCCGCTGCGTACGGCATGAGCAGCTCAGGCTGGGTATGGCTCGTCACCGATCAACACAGAAACCTTGGAATCGTCCCAACTTTCGGCGCAGGAACCGTCATCGTCCAGAACAGGATTCAGCAGGGAAAGCACTTTGCCATCCCAAGCGTCAACGACCAACCTACCACCGACGCGGACAGGCCCAACTCCACAGACAGACCCGCCCGCCCCGCAGAAAGCCTCTTCGGAGCGCTGGGTATTGCGGACAAGGTCGGAAAGGAGCTCTACCCGCTTCTCAACATCAGCGTCCACGAGCATGCTTGGCTCGCAGACTACGGCATCATGGGCAAGGAGGAGTACCTCACCCGCTTCTGGAACTGCGTCAACTGGGATAGGGTCGAGGAGAGGTTCGAGTCTTACTGCCCCCAGAGCTCGCGATACCTCTAGAAACGTGCATAGCTCGCCCTTTTCACTGTACACTACCACCACCCGCAATAACAAGATAGCACAACACAAACTTGCACTGACACCGTTACATACATTGCACGCAGCACGCACGAACCTCGCGACATTACAGGGCGCTCTCGACAATGAGCCGCAGCGCCGGCTCCAGACACGTCCAGTGGTCGCCCGCCACTTGGTGCCAAGCGAGGTGGGCCGTGCCCGACCAGAACGTGCGCCACTCGGGCTCGCTCGCCATCACAGGCTTCAACCCCGAGTCATGAGCCGCATTGACCACGATGATCTTTGCTGGCTTTGCGTCGTTCTCGGCAAATGCGAGGCAGCGGTAGCCCGGCAGACTGAGTGCGCATGAGCGGAAGTGCTCGCGCACCGTGGGCGAGGCGATGCGCCCAAGCATCTCGTCAAGCGTGCCCGTCGGAATCGGCTTGATCTGTAGCGGGCTTGGCGTGTCGATGAGGCCGACAAACGCCACCTCGTGGCCGAGCGAGAGGAGGCGCCGACACACCTCGAGCACGACGACACCGCCGATACTCCAGCCGCCGAGTCGGTACGGGCCGTGCGGTTGCGCGCGGCAGAGCATCTCGACATACTGATCCACCAGCTCGCCAACACCTCGACTCCATGCCCCGATGTGGCCCAGATAAGGCGAGTCGAAGCCATAGATGGACAGTCGGCCGCCAGTGTCGACGCGTGGATACATCTGTGATGTCCCGCTCCCGTCGGGAAAGAGGAAGAGGACGTCGCGCCCGTCAAAGTGCTTGAGCGGTGGACCTGCAATGTGACGCGGCTTCGAGGCGTTCGAGCGCTTGCTGGGGTCGGTCAGCTCGTTCATCGGCGAGTCACTACTCGTCTCGCCCTGGAGGCGAGCATTGTGAGCCGCGCTGCCGTTTGCCTTGCTCTCCAATCCCGGAATCGGTTTTGGCTGATTGGTAGAAGATCTGCGGGCGGAGTTCTGCGAAGGGTTGTCGCTCTCGTGGACGTTGGCGCTCGGCTGGGCTTTGACCGCTCGATCCGCCTCGTTGAAGAATGCCTTGCTCGAGAGCTGCACAAGTCTGAGCAGCATGTCGCGTCGGATGCGCTTGAAGACGATATCTTCCATCGAGCCCATGAATCGACCGTCGGGCAGAAAGAAGTAGGCATCGCCCCTCGACAGGTCCTTGTCCCTCTGCATCCTGGCATAGACCCGCACTGAAGTAGCACCGCCGGGCTGCATCTTTCGCAAGCCAGGCAGTGTCACAATGCGGCCGATGCCGTCTGCCATGTATACGTACGGACCTTCAGCGAAGCGGACGTTGCTGATAAAGCCAGTCAGCCCTCCGAGGCTGTCCAACAGCATCGGGCTGCACACGAATCGGCCGTGCGCGGCCTCGTTGTGGTGTCGGACTTCGGAGGTGGCTTCTTCACCGCCTTCGCTAAGCCAGACGGTCTCCATGCCTCTGAATCCACCGAGGTACTTGACGATGGCCTCAAAGTTTCGGTAGACGGTCTTGGTCTTGATGACAGATGACGAGTCGGCTTGAACCTTGGCGGCAGCTGTCTGGATGAGGTGCGCGAGCTTCGTCCAGTCGTGCTGGGCAGCGTCGACGCTGACGATGCGGATCCTGCAAGCGCCGTACTGATGCTTCTGGTGGCGGTGCTCGCTGTGAGAGAAGAACTGCACGATCGAGCCGCCGTGGGACCAGGGATCGCCCTGCAAGCTCACCTCGATGCTCTGCTTCGGGTCACGCTCGTTGAGGTACAGTGACGCGACCATGGAAAGCTCCAACACCTCGATCACCACGTCTTCCTCCTTCTGACCGGCCGGTCGAGCCGCCTTCGCGTCCAAATCCCACCAGTACATGCCGGCTTCCTGCGCAAGCTCGACAAACACGGTCGCCGGAGCCAGCTCCGTGCCGAGAATGATGTGGCCTTTGATCATGTCGCTGAAGGGGCGCTGGTTTGTGCGCGCCAGGAACTGCGCGGAGGGTGGATCGGCCTCGAGCCTGACACACTGCGACAGAAGGGCGTACGATGGCCGAGGCAGTCTCGGTTTCGAGGGAACCTCACGTTTAGTGCTAGTCTCCGCGGCGTCAGGCTGCTTGATGCTCGCTGGGTTGAGACCATCGCGCAGTCCTCGATCCTTGAACGGGATCCAGTGTTCTTCGTAGTCGAACGGATACAGCGGAAGACTTGCGCTCAGGCCCTTGTGACAGAAACGCAGTCCGAGGTCGCCGAAAGCCTTTCCCCAATCGAGGTCGATGCCGCGAGATGCCAACTCCTTGACCAAGCCGAGGATAGATGACCACGACGAGCTTCCCCGGCGGAAAGAGGCCAAGAAGGCTGGTGCATGCTCGGACTCGGCGTAACAGCCCTTGAGCATGGGTATGCAGGTCGGGTGAGGGCCCACTTCGACCCACGTGTCGATCTGAAGCTTGCTCTGAAGGTCCAGGATTGCTTCGCAAAAGCGTACGGGTTGACGCAGATGGCGGACGAGATAGTCGGCAGTGATGCTTGCGTTGCGGCCGTCGATAACCTGGCCGAGGACGTTGGATGCGATGCTGATCTTTGGCTGCGAGAAACGATGACGAGCAGCCACTTCGGCATAGTCCTCCATCAGCGGCTCGACTGCTTTCGAGTGGAATGCGTACGGCACTGGAATCGCCATCGCTTTGATCTTGGGATCCTTGTGCTCGCAGAGTCGCATGAGCGTTTCGATCTCGACCGTGCTGCCCGCGACGACGGTGTCGTTGGGACTGTTCATGCAGGCAATCTCGAGGCTTTCGGATCCAGACTCCTTGAGCAGCTGTGCGACCTGTGCATGATGCACTCGAATGGCCAGCATCGACGTGGCGTTGGGCTGGCAGCGCTCCATCATGAGCAGAGCGCGTCGACCGACGAGATCGATCAAGCTGTGGAGAGAGGGGATGCCCGACATCCACATTGCTGTATACTCTCCGAGCGAGTGTCCCACCAAGCAAGCTGGCTTGAGGCCCCAGTCGAGGAGCAAGGATGCGAGCCCCACTTCGACCGCAGTCAAGGCCAGCTGGTACTGCGCCGGGCTGAAGGCATCGGCTGCGCGCGTCCCCACTGTGGAGTCACGCTGAGCCGATGCCTCGTTGCATCCTGGATGGATGACCGCGACCAAGGCTGGCAGTCCTAGGCTCAGCGCGATGGTGTTGCAAGCGTCGACGTGTCGACGGAAAGTAGGGCTGTGCTCGTAGAGCTCCCGGCCCATGTCCAGATACTGGGCGCCTTGACCACTGAAAGCGATTCCGATGGCCATGTCCTTCACAGATCGGTCGCTGACGCAGATAGATTCCTGGCTGCTGAGGCAAGCCTTTGCTTCGGCAAGGGTGGCGGGTGTACCGATCAGGCGGTAGCGATACATGGCATCGCTGAGGGAAACATTGCTGCAGAATTCGCGCAGGCTGACGTCGCGGTTCTGGTCCAAGAACGCGATCAGCTGCCTCCTATGTGCGTCCAGTGAGAACGGCGTAGCAGCCGTGACGAAGAGCAGATGCTGCTTAACACTCGAGACAGAGTCGTCCGGCATCGCCTCGGCTTCCTTGGACAGGCTCAAGAGGCGCTCGCGGTAACGACTGCCCCGGTCCATGATGATGGAAGAATTGCCGCCCGCTGCCGAAAAGTTGTCGACGAGCGTGAACGTTGAGTTGAGGCGGTCGAGCTTGGTCTCCTCGAGTGGAATGTGCAGCCCGTCGAGGGGCGGAAGCTTGGTGTTGAGCTTTGTGCGGATGCCGATGTGTCGTGGCACCAAATCATGATTGTAGATCTGGATCGTCTTGATCATACTGGTAGCCCCGGAAGCCGCTTCCGAATGCCCGACATTGGCTTTCACCGAGCCAAGCACTAGTGGAGACTCGCCGGGCCTCTTCTTTGCGCCGAACGTCTCGACGATGCCGGTGACCTCTTCTAAGTCGCCACTCTGCGTCCCCGTGCCGTGCATCTCGATGTAGGAATAGTCGCGTGGCAGGGTTCCACTGGCGAGCATGCCGGATTGGTACAGCCTGCACTGAGTCTCTCCGTGAGGATGGGTGATGGAGAAAGACTCGCCCGAGTGGTTCGTCGCAGCCGAGGAGATGACGGCTAGGATAGGATCCTTGTCGCGCACCGCGTCGGTGAGTCGCTTGAGCAGCATGATGGACACTGCATCGGCTCTGGAATAGCCTGAACCGGCATCGTCCAGCGTCATGCATTGAGACGAAGGCGAGAGAAAGAAGCCGCGGTCGAGTCCGATGGTGATCTGCGGCTGTGTGATGATATTGACGCCCCCCGTGACTGCCGCTGACGTCTCGCCGGCGAGCAAGCTACTGCATGCCCCCTCGACTGCGGCCAAGGCAGAGCTGCAAGCAGTGTCATAGGAGCAAGCCTCGCCTCGGAAGCCGAATGTTTCGTTGACTCTGGCCACGAGATGTGCGCGGTGCGTGCTGGGAACAAGGCTGCCGTCAATATCGCGACTGAGATGCTCGCGGTAGTCATCGCTGCAGTAGGCAAAGTGGGAGCTCCACTGCTGCGGGTGCTTTGGCGGATGACGAGGAGAGAAGCCGTAGCCTGCCCTCTGAAGCGCCTCGTGGATGGTCAAGATGGCCAGTCGCTGCTGAGGGTCAAGCTTTGCGCAGTCATCGACCGAGCCGACGCCCTCGAGCAGGCTCTTGTCGAAGAGGCTTGGATCGGAAAGGCAGTTGGCAGTTCGAACGCGCATGACGTTCCGATCGCGATACGAGGCGGAATGGTAGTCTTGATAGCGGTAGAGCCTCTCGGGGATCTGAGAAGGGGGCGAAAGAGAGAAATGGCGGCATGGTGTCAGTCAAGCTTCAAGATTGCCACGGAAACTCCTCGGAAACATGTGGTCATACCTCTTGAAGAGTGTCTTTGCCCTCTTGAAGGAGCCTCCAGAGGTCGTCCGCATCAGAGGCACCAGGCACACGGCAGGACATGCCGACGATGGCGATCTGTTCGCAAGGATTTCCCTTGACTTTGGAGAGGTTGACAGGCTCGTTTCCGAATCGCTGAGAGTCTTTGGGCGAGAGGAGATTGAGCAGCTTGATGTGCTCGTGCGGCATTGCTTGTGACGTGAGATGTCGTGTCACTGCCGAGATGCAAGCGTCGTCGGTGGTGCCACCGACGAGCAGAACATTGACGTTTGGAATGTAGACGCGCGAAAGATTGATGTCGTGTGCAAGTTGCGCTAGGGCACCGTCGGACTGTGCTTGAGAGCGTCCAATGTCAGGCATCCGGAAAAGATCGGCCAGATCGACCTCGATGATGCTCGACGGGTCACCACAAAGGGCCATGCCAGGGCAGAGAGAGACCCCGATACGGCGTTTCTCGATGCAAGCCTGGAGACCATCGTGAATCCGAGTCCACTGAGCCTCGTCCAAGAGCGGCACCTTGGATTTTTCGGTGACGAGAACACCTTGCGACTCGTGCAGGACGCCCGCCTCTGGACCGTGCGGGGAGACGCCGAGGGTAAAGCCGTACAGGGTCTGTTGAATGAGGTTGTTACCCTGACGACACTTGTCCAGGACTGCATGCATCCCATCGCCTCCTCGGACCGTGAGCCTTTCGAGTCTACCATGCGCCTCCTCAAAGCTGCCAGGAGACAGAAACATGTCGATCCAGGTCGCGAGTCGGATCGTCTCGACAGCACGAGCGATGACTTCGAGGGTGGAAGAGGCGTCGGTCGTGTGGAGGATGCGCATCGTCAGAAAGGATTCGGGATCCCACACGGCGGGGAAGTCACCCAACATGGCATCTTTGAAGTCTTGCCTTGCGGCGAGGACCGTGCCGATTTGAGCCAGAGTCGTGAGAGACAGAACGAAGAAGCTGAAGAGGGGGGCAGCGGTGGTCTCGGCGAGCCCTTCGAAGGAAGCCGGTAGAGCAGGTGCACCGGAGCGCTCGAGCTCGAGCGAGTCGGCTGCGGCGCTGGCCTCGCATCGGATGGACTCGTATGCGGTCTCGAGGAAGGAGCGCAGGATGGCATCGTGGAGTGCTCTGTGATACAAGAGGTGAAAAGTGGATGGACGCAAGATCTGCCGATGGGATGCGTACACGAAGACCACCTTGTGATTGTGTTCGAGGTCTTTGTGTGCTTTGTTGAGCGTCATCTTGCGGTTTTCTTGGGCGATGGGATGTGGGAGTGAAGGAGTGCTGGGGGAAATCTGCGCTCCTTGTCGTCTCTACGGGTCCTTTATATGTTCCATGACTTGCGCTTTGGCTGGCCGTCCAGAAGTCCCGGGCTTTCGAGTGCTGTGCGGAACCGCCTTGCTGTTTTCCTCTGTTGGAGAGGCGGCTGCCATCTTCGCAGTGCTCTATCGGTCGACCTGTGTGGGCTGGAAGTGCTCGAGGGGCAATCTGAAGCGATTGCTCCGAAAGAGGCGGAGGCGCTTGAAGTTGAGGTGATTTTCCTGCGGCGTTGCATCGCTTTGGGAACCTCCGTGTGAAGTGTCGGAAGAGCCGCTGTGAGCCATGTCATCCGCCGGACCTTCCACGAGTGATATGATCACGTCGTGCGTACGATTCTTGCGTGACGTTGCGGAGGTTGACAGACTTTGCGCCAGTGTGCGGATCCGACGGAAAGATGGAGCGGGTGATCCGATGGCGTCGGCGCTTTTCCACGTCCACGGCAGCGCTGGGGAGCACTGACCCTGTGTCGAAGTGGTGCTTGTGATCGCAGCTGCATCTGTCGAGACCAAGTGACAGGTAGAGAAAGTCGCGTGACCGGAGAAAGGGGATAGCTACGCCCAAAGGTTCACACGCGTGTCGACGTGGTGTAAAGCCTGTTGGCGCCTGAACGTTGAGGGTGATTCAGAGCATGATTACGCCTTCTCCGCGGCGAAGCCTGCTGTCCACATGGTCTCGTGACTGCGACGAAACCGGACGCCTTTGATGTGACAAGTGGCTAGTCGATGGCGTGCTGGTGTTGCGAAGTGCTTCCGAGCGAGTTACGTGATGCTAATCGAAAGCATGCCGAAGCTAAAGCGCGCAAGCTCAAAGTGCACAAGCTCAAAGTGCGCATGTGGCGATAAGGATAAGCGGGGTCTGCAAGGGCGGCAGTGATACTTTCGAGACGTCCGTGGCTGCAACCGGAGAATGGCGATCGTGGTTGTGACGCAGAGTGAAAGAAGGTTGGCGCCCTGGCCTCCGCAAAAGCGCGTTACGCCGCAAGCTAGAGCCTGATGTCACACCCAGAGCTTGTAGATCAACCCACCTTGGGCCGATTCGCTTTTACGTTGCGCTCTTGCCGGTTCAGGTTTTGGCCAAGCTTCCGGCCTCCTATGTCCTGTGCGAGCTTGATCCGTCCGACCTCCGGAGAAGGCCCTTGAGGTGCTTTTTGCTGAGCCTGGCTGAAGCGAGAATTGAGCCGGCCACCTCTTGCTGCGTGCAGCCCTGTGTCACGGTGGAATGTGAAAACTTCCGGGCTGGTGCACAGTATTTGCTGAAGATTCAAGACGACATGGGACGCCGCTAGCCATGTGTCGACGCCTCGAAGCTACATAAGCGACATGATGTCCAGCACCGCACGTCCAAGGATGACTTCATCCGCCGAGGGCCTGGCCACGATCATAGCGGAAGCATGCCGCTGCGCAGGTTTCGACTGTTGGCCTTGCACGGCAAAGGAACATCGGCACGAATCATGAAGACGCAGATCAAGCCGATCGTCGACGCGCTTGGCGAGCTGGTCGAGGTGGAGTATTTGGAGGGCGGTGAGCGATGTGCGCCACACCAAGGTGAGTCGGCGGCATTGGTCGTCGTCGCTCAAGCTGTCTACTGATGACCGGTTGGCTGCTCTGATCAGGCATCGAAAGCATCTTTCCGGGCCAAGCGTACTTTTCGTGGTACGAGCAGCCGACGCGCGCTGCATTGCAGGCGGCGCACATCAGGGTGGCAGCCAAATTGGACGCTTCGGGTTGCTGCTATAGGAAGCAGAGTGATGGCTCGCAGCAGCTCCGTGCAGCCATAGCGTTGGAAAACGAAATAAGCATCGATCCTTTGGCGATGCATCCAGCGTTGACCGACACGGCAAGCACGGGCGCACTGCCTGCTCTGACGCCCAGCTATGGAGGCACGGACTCGGATGCGAGCACGGCCGGACCAACGACACCTCTGGAAGAGCATCGATGCGCATTCGACGGGGTGATCTGCTTCTCGCAGGGATGTGCGGTGTCGACAGGCATGCTACTGGAGCTGAGGGCACATGTGGGAGCTGGACTGGACGAGCTTCCGGTGCGACTGGTGATTCTCATCTGTGGCGGACGACCGTTTGAGAGCGGAGGAGGGCTGCAGCGCGTGGACACGAGGGGAGTTGCGCCGCTCGAGATCAAGAGCGTACATGTGCATGGCCGACACGATACGAATCTAGCGGAATCGCGACAGCTGGCATCGCTGTACGACGACCGGGACAAGCAGGTGATCGAGCTCGACATTGGACACTGCCCACCGCGGCGAACCTCGGAGGTGAGCGTGGTGGCGGCGGCCATACGCAGCGCACTTGTGACTCTGGACTGAAGAAGAATGCCGGCAGGTGGCGGGCATCGTCAAGATCCAGGAACGGCGGTGTATTTGACCTGCCGATGAACGACCTGTGAGAGCAGCATGTGTGGAAAGATGCTTTCGCCAGGGTCCAGCGCGGGCAAGGCGGGAGTCGAGCTGAGACGCGCGAGGTGTGGCCCACGTGGCGGGCGGGCGGGCGGACTACGGTAGCGGCAGAGTCAGCCTACAGTCCAAGAAATTCGAAGCTCGACAGTCACAGTCGGGGGAATTGGGCGCGTGGCGAGGTGTGCATCTGGAGCTGCATCTGGAAAGTGAGACTGCGAGGCACAGCCACGCCACGCCACGCTACTGTACTGTACGCTGCAGAGCGAGCAGCAGCAGCAGATTGGTCGAGCGGGGCCATGATTGGTGGATGGCAGCTTGCATCAGGCTAGGCCTCTGCATTGGATGGGAAAAGCGAGCGTGGCCTCAATGCGCCGGTCAACCTGCTGCACCCCGTTCCATTCGAGCAGCTCAAGCAGATCCAGCAGCCCAAGCAGCTCGTGGTGATTTCAAGACGAGCTGAGCAACGCGGCATCGCTCCGAAAGCAAACGGCAACGACAATGGCCGTCGGGCGTGGAACAGCCGACGGGATGAGATGCACAAAAAGGTCGCCTGCCGGGCCAACCGTCGAGGCCCCACCTCCGAAGTGTGCATGCATCAAAAGTCGAGCGCCGGACGTCCCGATGCCGTGTCTCACGAAAAAAATGCGAGAGTGCCCGTGGTCAGAGATTCGTTGGCGTGGGGGTCGTGGGTGCGGAACGTAAGAAAAAGTGTGATTGGAGCGCCCCTCTTTTTTCTTTGTCTCCTTTTCTTTGGCCAAATTTAGGAGTTGCCGGCAGAAGATGCGCCACCTCTGTCTGGGAGCGCAAAGCCAAGCGCAGAGAGAGGAGGCGGGTGTGTGAATTTGAAGATGATTTTAGATTGCGCCCAAGCCAGGTTGGGTCGGCAGCGCAGCGCAGTGCAGTGCAGTGCRGTGCAGCTCAACGCAGTGTGCAGCTCAGCTTGGACCAACACCCGCCGCCGCCGTTGGTGGTTCTGTCGGCCTCGTCACATTTCCAACGCACGAACCTCTCTCGCTCTCCCCCACTAAGCTATCGGCTTGGCCGTCATCCTCCTCGTCATCCGCAAACTTCATCTCTACGCCCGGCTCACTCCCACTCCCACCTCCGAATCACCCGGCCTGCTCTTCAGCACCGCTTCCGTCTCGTCTTTTCTCGTTTCGTCTCGCCTTGCTGCGGCCCCCGTCTTCCGAAGCGTCCAGCAACGACGACCTTCGCCACATAGAATCGTAACAGCGTCCACCCGTCCCCATCATCGCAATCCTTGCATCTCAGACCACTTCGTTCCGTTGGCCGCCGCCGCCGCCGCCGCCGCCGCCAGTATACCTCTCGCTCCGTCCTGTCCCGAAATCGGCAGCCTTCTTCTGCATCACTGCTCCTGCATCAACTTGGGAAATCGCTCGGTTTCATCTGCCTGCCGCATCCCCGCTTGCACCTGCTGCCTCGGACCACAGCTTCGAAGCCACAAAGCTTGCATCTAGCTTGATCTCGACGCATCCCATGTGCGCTGCCTGCTGAAGCCATCGCCGCACCCTCCGCTCCACGCAGCCAAGGCAGCTCTCGCAAGCAAAGCTCGGATCATCAGCACTCGATTCGCTTGTCACTGCGCCCTAGCTCAGCGTCGTGCCCCACACAGCCATCGTCATGACGGGTACAGAACGTCGCAGCCGTCCGGGCAACCTCGCCAACATGCCTCCGCGCACTCCCATCACACGCACCCCTTCCCCCACCAAGAAGCCGTACCCACCTTCCTCGGCCGCCAACAACCTCAGCAGCCGCTCCACGCTCGCACAGAGGTCCCACCAGCATCCGCACTTTGACACGCCCAACTTCTCCATCAACGCTCACTTTGCCGAAGCTTTCGGTGCGACTCCCAACTACGAGCTTCCGGCCGACGGCCTCTTCCACGCAGACGATGCCGCCGCAGCCGCAGCCGCCGCCTCCTCTTCCGCCACTTCCGCCAACTCCTACTGGCTCACAGAACACCGCTCCCAGTCCGTTCCACCAAGGATAGCTGCAGAGAGCGCAAACTCAAACTCCCGCTCCAACAACCTCCGCCGCGCAATGCCCACCATCGATACCAGCGCAAGGCCACTCTCAAGGCGAGAGTCCCTCATGGACGAGGCAGAGAAGCGTCCCACCAGCCCTCACATCACCTCGGCCACTCCCACAAGCGCACGCCATCACCACCTTCCCTTCTCCTCCACCTCCAACCAGCCATCGTCCGCTGGCCATCATTCCTCGTCCCGCCCCGGCTCGTTTCATGAGCATGACTCGCAGCGCATCCGTCAGAACAAAAGCCCCGCCGTACACCGCGTGGCCTCGCCCTCCCTCCTCAACTCTGGCATCGGCCGTGCCGCCGTCTCGGCTGCACAGTCCATCATGGATGCCATGGCCGGTCGCTCCTCCCCAGCATCCACGCGCAACAAGCACGTCGCCCACTCGGACGATCACGACAGCCTCAGCGACGACGAGGCCGGCAAGGGTCACGGTCGCAAAGCCATCCCGCCCGTCGCAAATCGCTTCACCCCTTCGCTCTCCCACCCGCGCAATCATGCCCACTTTCACGAGAAGCAACCCTCACCCGCCGCTTTCGACCATGCTCACCACGCTGCCCAGGGCGTCAGCGCCGACATTGCTTGGCATGCCGGCATCTCGGAATCGCGAAGAGCGACCCCAGCCGCCTACCGGCCCCGTCCCGCCACGCCCTCCCGGCGGCGCGCCAGTCAGCATCAGGACCGCCAACCCACCGCCGACGACAGCACCGACATGCATCTGCCTGACAGCCTCAAGTCCACCCACTCCTCCATCCACATTGGCTCGCCCATCGTCGTCCCGCAAGCACGCCGCGGCGCCGTCCGACTCCAACCGCGGCGCAGGCGAAGAGTCGCACGCCCCATCAAGCCCAAACGCACCTGGCGCCAAAGCGTCTTGGTCTGGCTCGCCACGCTCGTCCACTTTGTACGCTTGCTCGCCTCGCCCGCCGAGGCGCTGCGTCGCTTCAAAGAGTACTGCACCGACACGCGCATCTCCATCGACGATGCCTTCCGCCACCCGCACACGGGCATGCGCAGCTACTACCCGCCCTGGCTCCAGGCGTACGTGCCGCTGCTCATCTGGCTCGCCATCAGCCTCACCAGCACCGCGCTCGTCATCACCTTCCACACCCAGGTCTTTGTCGGCCTCGACCACATGGCCGCCTACCTCCAGGGCCTCGGCCTGCGCGGCAAGTTGATGCTCGGCTCGCTCATCTTCCTCACCACCTTTCCGCCACTGCCGCTCTACTCGACGCTCATCATGCTCTGCGGATTCACTTTCGGCCTCTGGCAGGGCTTCATCATCAGCTACATTGCGGCGCTGTCCGGCGCCATCGTGGTGTTTGTGCTCAGCCGCTCACTGCTGCGCGAATGGATGGTGGGCCTGCTCAACAAGAGCGGCGGCCTCAAAAAGGTGGTGCGCGCCATCGAGAAGCAGCCCAAGCTGCTCTTCCTCGTGCGTCTGGCGCCGTATCCGTACAACCTGATGAACACGCTGCTCGCCAGCTCGCCCACGCTCACCATGCGCACCTACGTCACGTGCACCGCGCTCGCGCTGCCCAAGCTGCTCATCCACACGGGGCTCGGCACATCCATCAAGAACTTTGCCGCCTACAACGGCGCCGCCGAAGGCGTCAGCAAGGAGGAGGCGGCAGCTTCGCAGACGGCCGAAAACGTCAAAAAGTGGGCGGGCCTCGTGGGCATTGGGCTGTGCATCGGCATCATGGTCTACTTACTGTCGGTAGCGCGGCGTGCGGTGGACGAGCTGGACGACGAGGCGGACGACGGATACGACGATGTGCTGCTCGACGAAGAAGGTGAAGAGCTGCTCTCGTCGGACCTGGACGACGAGGACGGTGACGAAGGCGACGAGGTTGACGATGGACGCGACCGCGGCGCCGGCGTCGACATGCGCGAGCGAGCGGGTCCGTCGACGCTTGGATTCCGCAACGGCTACGCGCCCATCACCTCGTCGCCCGAAGAGCGGCTGCGACAGAGCATGCGCCAGCCGCAGCCCATGCCCGGTCCCTTGGTGCTGCCCGGATCGAGCTACGAACGAGCGTCTGGCTCGGGCTCGTTTGACGGCAGAGTGTCGCTCAGCGGCAGCGGCTCGGTGGGAGCGCCCTCGATCGATCTGGCCGACAAGATCGCCGAGATGGAGGCGCATGCTGAGAATATGACGTTCGAGTCGCCGCTGCACAACGGCGCCGAGATGCACTCGGCCTCGCCGCGGTGGTCGCCCTTGGTGGCTAATCTAGAGGAGAGCGCCCAGCAGGCGCCTGCGTTGCTGCTCGATGGCCAGGCGCCTGAGTTCACACAGCAACACGCGCCGCATGGCAGGACATGGGAGTGATCTTTGCAGCGCGTAGCACCTTGCATCTTGGAGAGTCGCCTCTCGCGCCCAGTTCCGGTCGATGTAGTCTCGCACGCTTGGATCCCTCGACAGAGCCGACGCTAAACCAGTAAGCCGCCTGGATGGCCGCTGCCGCTCGCCGAACTGCCCGAGCTGCCGAACGAAGGGTATATGCGCTGTAGTCCAAAGAACCACTCTAATCAATCGCAGTGCATCAGCTGCATGGACACTCTTTCTCGTCGTGATTGTGAATGGTGAGGGTGGACTGTGCGTTGAGTGAGAAGAAAAATTGCGCTGGCTGGGCTGGCTGGGCTGGCTGGCTGGCTTGAAAAATTCCGCCATATCCGAGCGTGCGGCGCGCATTGACACTGTCTGGCTGACCACCATCACCTCTGCACACCGTCCTCACGAGGTCGACACTACTCTCAGCGACGTGCACTTGGACTTGGCTGGGACTGTTTTGCTTGACTGCATGCTCTCGCTGTCATCGACGTCTTTGCGAACGCTACGATCTCTGACGTGCTTCCGTGCGCACGTGCCCGTTTTTAGACCCAACACGCTCGCATCCACGGCGCAACTAGCTCCAGCCTCTCGATCAGCTTATCTGCATTCAAAGAGCATCATCATGGCCGAAGCAACGACCAACAAGAGGTCCAAGATGGATCCCAATGGTGAGTTGTGAAGCGCAGAAGAGGTCAAGGTTCTGCAGGCGGTGGGGAGCGGGAAATTTTGGAAGTTGGTCTCTGCGCAGGGGAAGGGCGATTTTTTTGCGCACGAGCCGCGAGGGAAAAGATGGAAAAAGAGTTTTCGGCGCGGATCGAAGTTGCTTTTCTTCCACCATCTTTCTTCGACTGACTCATTCCTCTGGACTGGCAAACGACGATGACAGAGCACATTATCACGCACTCGGGCACGTTCCACGCGGACGAGGCGCTTGCGGTCAACCTTCTGCGCAAGCTGCCGCGCTTTGCCTCTGCGCCGCTCACGCGCACGCGCGACGCCGCCACGATCGACAAGGGCACCATCGTCGTCGACGTCGGCGCGACGTACGATGCCGCCACGCACAGGTACGACCACCACCAGCGCGGCTTCGAAGAGGTCTTCGACGACAAGCACGCCACGAAGCTGTCGAGCGCCGGACTGGTGTGGAAGCACTTTGGGCGCGAGATCGTCGCGGCGCATCTGAAGCTCGGCGACAAGGACAAGGAGGTGGTGGAGCTGCTGTACAACAAGCTGTACGACGACTTTGTCGAGGCGATCGATGGGATCGACAACGGCATCGCGCAGTATCCGAACGAGCTCAAGCCCAAGTACAAGAGCCGCACGGATCTGTCGGCGCGCGTGGGGTATCTCAACCCGCGCTGGAACGAAAAGTCGAGCGATGCCGAGCTGGACAAGCGCTTTGAGCAGGCCAGTGCCATGGCGGGCAAGGAGTTTTTCGATCGACTCGACTACACGTTCAACGCTTGGCTGCCTGCACGTCAGATCGTGGTGGATGCGCTGGCGAAGCGTACGCACCCGCAGCTGCTGGTGTTTGACGAGTTTGCCAGCTGGAAGGACCACCTGTTTACACTCGAGCACGAGCTGGCCATCGCGCCCACGGAGCGCGCGATCTATGTGGTGTACCCGGACGAGTCGGGCAAGTGGCGCGTGCAGGCGGTGCCCGTAAGCGCCGAGAGCTTTATCTCTCGCAAGGCTCTGCCCGAACCGTGGCGGGGGATTCGGGACGAAGCGCTGTCGCAGCTCACCGGCATCCCCGGGTGTATCTTTGTGCACCAGAGTGGGTTCATCGGTGGCAATGCCACACGCGAAGGAGCGCTCAAGATGGCCAGTGATGCACTGGCGCACACGGGGGTAGAGTTTATCCACTCTGCGCCTGTGGCTGGTGATGCGGATGGGCATAGTCACTCGCATGCGGGTGGGGACCATGGGCATACGCACGATATCATGGAGCATCCGGGCAAGTTCAATGACCGGGAGCTGCCGAACTACGAGGCGCGCAACTGGAGCGAGCGAGCGTTCACCGTGGGGATTGGAGGACCGGTGGGGTCGGGTAAGACGGCGCTGCTGTTGTCGCTGTGTCGTAAGCTGCGCGAGAAGTTGAACCTTGGCGTTGTTACGAACGACATCTTTACGCGCGAGGATCAGGAGTTTCTGCGACGTCATGCTGCTCTCACGCCCGAGACACGAATTCGGGCTATTGAGACGGGAGGATGTCCGCACGCGGCGATTCGCGAGGATATCAGTGCGAACCTGGACGCGCTCGAGCAGCTGCAGGCGCAGTTCTCCACGCAGCTGCTCTTCGTCGAGAGCGGTGGTGATAACCTGGCAGCAGCGTACTCGGTGGAGCTGGCGGATTTCCACGTGTACGTAATCGATGTGGCGGGAGGCGACAAGGTGCCTCGTAAAGGTGGACCGAGCATTACGCAGAGCGATGTGCTGGTGATCAACAAGATCGACCTGGCCGATCAGGTGGGTGCCGACCTGGGCGTCATGAAGCGCGATGCCGAGAGGGTGCGCGATGGCGGACCCACCGTGTTTAGCTCGGTCAAGCTCGATCAGGGCGTGGATGCGGTGGTGGAGATGATCCTTGCTGCGCGTCGAATCGCCGGTGCCGACAAGGCTGGCCAGCCCATCGCCTAAAGCCCCCCCCCCCTCCCCCCTTTCACTCACTCCACACCCTTTCAATGCCACTCGATCTCAATGAACAAGACCATGAAGAACAGAATCAAGGAGGACGAACATTGCCAAAGTGTGTATGGGGGGATTGGGTTTAGAGTTTGGACTGCGGGGAGGAGTCGGCGTCGATGATGTCGAGGGCGAGTTGGGCGCAGAGGGGAAACTTGGCGCCGTACACCTTGGCCTGGGCGGACGAGGCTTGGCCCTGGGCATTGCGTGCTGCGATGCCCTGGCTGATGACGGCGAGTCGGAACCACGCCCACGCCTTGGCGGCGGTCCAGTTGGGGATCGGATCCGCCCTGCGCGCTTTTTCGCAGTACCTGCTGATCAGATGCTTCTCCAGTGGAACCGGACTCGTGTGTTCATCGAGGCCACCCAGGGCTAGGAGGAGCGAACCTTCCTTGCGGGATTTCTCCCATGTGGAGGGATCGTTGATGGCGGCGGGGTCGGTGCATGTAGTCGAGTAGGGTTGAAGCAGGTTGGCCAGGTCCGAGAGTGGGTGGCCGAGGGTAGACAGTTCCCAATCCAGAATCCCAATCACCCTCGGCTCGGTAGGGTGGAAGATGAGGTTGTCGATCTTGTAGTCTCCGTGTACGATCGTGTTTTCGTCGCGCGGCATGTTGCCCGCGAACCATTTCAAAAACCGTTCGATGCCAGGAATCGCCCCGACCTCCTTGCCGGTCTCTTTATCCTTGATCGCCGCCTGGACAGAGCTGACCTTTGCAAGCGACTTCATTTGGCGCGTATAGAACCCTGCGTCCTTGCCGTAACCCTCGAGCCCTACTTTCTTTACGTCGACGCGGTGAAGGGCGGCAAGTGTATCAATGGCCGAAGCCCAGCAGAGCGCACGCTCGGACTTGGGCAGTTGGAGGAAGCGGTAGTCCTCGAAGATGCGACCGTTGATGAACTGCATAATGTAAAACGGCGTGCCCACAATACTGGTCTCTTCGCACAGACAAAACACCTCGGGCACAGGGATCCTATCCTTGCTCGCCTCTGGCAGCGCCTTGGTGTATGTGTGCAGAGCCTTCAAAATGCGGTACTCTCGCTCAACCGCATGAGCAGTGGAAGAGAGCAGCGAGCCGGGAGGCTTCTTGCGAAGCACGTAGCGCACGTCGTTCCGGTCGAACAGGATGTACGTAGGGTTGCTCTGGCCAAAGCTGAACTGCTTCACCGAAACCGGTGCCGCAATAGCAGGAACGTGCGCCGAAAGGTAGCTGTTCAAGGCAGACACGTCGAATGCGTGTCGCACTTCGCCGTACTCCTGCCCGACTTTGTTCGACATGGTGTGGGGG